AAGGGAAAACATAATTATTACATACACAAATATAAATCTTGCAAGAAGCTAATGGTGCCATTCAAGATATATTTCCAAGAAATAGCCCTAGATTGGGTTACATGTAAGAAGGGGCTGACTTGAGCTTTACAGAGAGAAAATGAGCAAGAACTGGGAAGACTTCACGTTTCCCAGAATAACGGAAGAGCCTCAAACTCCATTCCACTATAGGTGCTTTGTCTTTCTATTTGTGTTGTAACGTTTTAGTCAGAGAATTTTCATGTCTTATGTACTGGTGTCTGGCATGCTGGTGATGATGTGATTAATTTTCAATAATGTTGGCTGAATATTAATGCACTTCACCTCTGTCCCTGTTGAACTGAACTTAAACCTTTCAAAATGAGAATGAATAGAGTTGTTCAAATGTAAGTCACATCTTGATACGTGCAATTAGCACAAATGTGCTCCTCATCTTCTGAAAGTATATGTGCATAAGCAAGTATACTTTTTTTCAGTTAAAGAGACTGCAGAGTGAGTGCTCTCAAATAGTGGTATTGTTGCTCCCCACCATTTACAGCAGAATGCCTGGCTGCTTAGGTATAACTTCTACTTTAATGCCTCTATGCTCTTAGTGACCAGGTAATTAGGTGTGTTTCCACAAAAATAATTTTACCATTTAAGTCCTCATTACTCTGAAAGCATTAAAAAGATTTATTGCCATATTTACAACAGGGATTTTCTGCAGGTTTAATGGGTAATTTAATTCGAAATATTAGATAGATTTCATGTATTATCACAAACTGGCTTATAGTTTGCATTCTGTAAGTATTTTTAAATTCTTGTTTATGAACATGCACAGTTATTAGAAATATATTTTGACTGTTTGGATCTTTTTGTTGCTGTTTTTAAGATCCTGTAACAAGTGCTGGCTTCCAAATATGGTATAAGCTTAATTTTGAAATATGTATAATTTCTTTCTTCATTGGTGCTAAGGTTTTAACTCAGGGTTTTAGGCTTGCAAGGCAGGCTAATTTTTAATATTTTAGCTGCATTGGATAAATGAGATTGCATCAAACTGAAGAGTTCCTGCATGTCAAAGAATACAGCTAGCAATATAAATAGAAAGCCCACAGAATTGCAGATCTCTACTAGTTATGATCAGACAAGGACCTCATATCTAAAATATACTTATAGCTCAAAGAATTAATATCCCCCCCAAAACAAATGCTCAAAGAAACAACAACCCTAACCTCATTAATAAGTGGGCTAAAAACTTAGAGACTTCTCCAAAGAAGAAAGAAGAACCACCAATAGACACATGAAAAAATGTCCAATATCTCTGGCCATAAAAGAAATGCAAATCAAAACCACATTGAGATTCCACCTCACCCTAGTTAGAATGATCATTATCAAGTTTTCACAACATCAAGTATTCGATGTTGTATAATTTGGGGAGAGGAAAGGAAAAAACAAATTGTTTAAATAGGGATACAGGTGGACCCACTACAACAATGAGATATACAAGATGCTGTGTTGAAAAACAACAATTTAGGTGGGGGGGGGAGGTAGCTGAGGAGGTGGGAGGGAAGGGATGGTAGGGGAAAAATAAAGGAAGAGGCAACAAAGCTGGATAAGAAATGTAACCATTACCTTGCTCTTGTAACTGTAACCCCTTTGTACAGTATTTTCACAATAAAAAACTTAATTAAAAAAAGAAAACTATAATAACAGATGGTGTTAGGGATATGGCCAAAAGGGAACGCTACTACACTGTTGGTGGGTATGTTAACTTGTTCAACCACTCTGGAAAGCAGTATGGAGGTTCCTCAGATGGAGCTCCCCTATGACCCAGCAATCCCACTTCTGGGCATTTACCCAAACGATCACAAACAAGGCCATACTAAAGCTACCAGCACAACTATGTTTATTGCAGCATTATTTACCATAGCTAAGATATGGAGCCAACCTAAATGCCCCTCAGTGGATGAATGGATCAAGAAAGTTTGATATAGTATGGAATTCTATGACTCCATCAGAATGAATGACATTGCCCCATTTGTTAGGAAATGGAAATACTTGGGAAAAAAAATATATTAAGCAAAGTAAGCCAGACCCAAAGAAACATAGGCTGCAATATTTTCCTTCATTTGTAATAACTAAAGTATGTCTAGTATATTCTTAGGAGAGGATCACAATACCTCAATAGCTAGGTGCATATGACAATATAAAATGATGCTTATCAAAATGAACTCCGAGAAATGGAAACACGAGGATTTTTATTTTAATGTACTGTAGTTATTTCTTTTATCTTTTCTTTTTTTCTCCTCTGGTTTATTCCTTATGGTTATTGTTCCTGATTTTGGTACCTTTCGTATTGTATATAAGTTTATCTGATTTGGGGAAGGAAAGGAGAATCACTGAAAAGGTGGGACAAAGTGGAAACCAAATCAACAATGATTAGACGCTAAGTTGGTAGGGAGGGATGTTGGGAGGGAAAAAAGTGGGAGAAAAGGAGGGAAAAGGTAACACTTCAAAAAGAAATGTACTCATTACCTGACTTCGTAACTTTGTGCATCACCTTTACAATAAAATTCAAATTAAAAATTTATTTTAGCCGCAAATACATTCAGAATACTCTCTGCACTGCTTAATCTTTGTCCTGTGGTACGGTGTGTTGTTTTCTGAAAGCACCAATCTGGACTCTATCTGGATTATATCTTGAGAATAAACTGAATAATAAAATTATATAATTCATTTTGACATTAAATTGACTAATTGGAACATTAAATAAAGTTAAATATTTTGTGTTGGGAAAACTTCTTAAATTGACTCAGCAGAGGAAGCTTAAAGAGAACAACTTTAAGAATGAAGTGAAGGATAGTCAGGCATCAGTGGTTCATGCCTGTAATCCTAGTTACACAGGAGGCTGAGATCTGAAGATTGTGGCTCCAAAGCCAGCACAGGACAGCACACAAGCCCTGAGTTCCAGCCCCATGACAAAAAATGAAATGAAGCGAATCTTAGAATATAGTCAAAGTAGATCAAAGTAGATTATAAACATATATGAAATTCAAAAGAAGTAGAAAGGAGTACTACAACTCTTCACTAAAATAATTCTTTCCCTTTTTTCTTTTCCTCTTTTTCTTCTCTTTTTTTCTCTTTGCTATCCTACTAGAGATCAGAAAATTATCCCTCCTACTTCAAATGTTTTAAAAGAGAATTTAGAATAATGCAAGAAAATAATATAGAAATAATATAGACTAATAAATAACTCTTCACTGAGTCACAGCATTCTGTTTCTAATAGACTTGAACATTGATTTTTCTTTTCTCTATTAATGTATGCTGCCAGGCCATGGTTGTTTCTTTCTTTATAAGATACGAAGTTACCAGAGCATTTGTCATCATTGCTCACTTTTTAACTTACAATGATATTTCTGCTTATATCCTTGTTTTTACAGCCTATCACAGAAGTGTTCGATCATCTTTCAGATGATTAAGTGAGAAGGCAATCAAGAACAACACAGAAATGATACTACTATATAAGGCACTGCCAGAATTACTTACACATGGGAAAATGAAAAATGAGAAAAAGGAAAGTGATTTGTGTTTCCAAATTATCGCAGTAGATCAGTGCACTGTGGAGGTCAGAACCTCACTGTGCTCCGCTCCAACACTTCCTACTTGTATAATAGTCACAACTCATTAGAAATGGAGTTGGGATCATTTAGGCCTATATATGTATGTTTTCCATTAACAGAATCAATTTCAATTTAGGTAGCAAATCTATTCGCGAAACAATTGTATCATAATTGATGACTTTGTTCTATCTACAGTCTTGAACAAATTATTGAAACCTCTTCAAGATACCATTGGGATCGAAACTAAATGATTATTAGGAAGTTGAAACATGTCCTGTCTTGGATATGTTAGTTGGAAGGATCAGGCAAGGAAGGGAGAGTGAAGGAGGATAAATACAATCAAAAGTGCTTTATGTACATGAGCAAAAATGGAACAATGAAACTTGCTGAGACTGATCTTGGAAAATAATGTTTGAAGAAGCAAGAATAATTTAGTCCGTCAGGATATACTGTATACATACATGGACATGTTAAAATGAAACCCCTTGTGCAACTAATTGGTACTAATAAACAACAGCAGCAACACACCCTCCCAGTAGCCCATGAGAGCCTGGAGATCAGGTGTGCAGTCACATTAGTTTTGGTAAGATTTCTCATCCAAACAGGAGAGGTCATACCCTCATAAAATACATAGACAGTTTCAAGAGTCATCATATGTAAGAAAGTCCAAGATTAAGATATTCTCAGAGGGATAATAGTGTGTGCTGGAGGAGATTTGGTTTAGAAATCAAGCATCATTTTATCAGAAGCAATTTTCCCTAAAGATACAGTTGAAAATTTACATTTATCCAGTTACCAGACTAAAAGAACTCGTTTAGCCAAAGATCAGCTTCTGATGGAGGGCAAACTGGGGTATGATCAAAAATGCAGTTTAAGGCTTTTCAACAACTGTAAGAAAATTCAATGGAGATACTTCATGAGCAACAGAGGAGCTCTGGATCCGACACGTTGAATCATAGATGGGAAGATAAATGTAGTATTTATGTACATATATGTGGTTCAATACTCTAAGAATGACAATCTGTTCTAGAGTGAGAAAAGACGAGGATCTGGGACAAAGCTGAAGACTATTGTTTAGAAATCTGAAGTAGAAGAAGACCAGAGAAAATTGGGTAATGAATAATGGCCAATACCCACAAGAATGTCCTGTAGCAGAAGCCTTTAGAATATAGTGTCTTCTTTTTTAAATTTTTAATTTTTATGGCCAAGGTGACATACAGAGGGGTTACAGTTACATAAGTAAGGTAGTGATTACATTTCTTCTCTAACTTGCTACCCTTTCCTTCATTTTTATCCCTCTTTCCCTTGGCCCAATCCTCCCCGCTCCCAGTTGTACAGATCATTTCCAACATATTGTTTTGTGAGTATCACCATTGCATAGGTTTCCCCCTTTTTCCTTTGTCTCACCATTTTGTTGTTCCTCTTCCTTTCTCTACTTCAGATAACCATATATATAACACCAAGGGTACCAAAATCGAACTCAGTGACAACAGGGGATAAACCATAAGGGGGGAAATGCAAAAGAAAAAGAGAGTACAACCACAACAAAGGAAAATTTCTTGTGTCCATGTCTTGGAGTTCATTTCACTTAGCATCATCTTTTATGGTCATAGATGCATAGCTATTGAGCTATTCTGCTTATCTGCTAAGGTTATCCTAGATGTATACTAATTATTACAAATAATGGAGACCATGGGACCTATGTTTCTTTGGGTCTGGCTTACTTCATTTAATATGATTTTTTTCCCCAAGTCCTTCCATTTTCTTACAAATTTGGTGGTATCATTCTTTCTGATGGAAGCCTCATATCTAAAATATACTTAGAACTCAAAAAATCAAATTCCCCAAAAACAAATCCTCAAAGAAACAACCACCCCATTAGTAAGTGGGCTAAAGACTTAAAGAGAGACTTCTCTGAAGAGGAAATAAGAATGGCTAATAGACACATGAAGAAATGTTCAACTTTTCTGGCCATAAAAGAAATGCAAATCAAAACAACATTAAGATTCCACTTCACCCCAGTTAGAGTGGCTATAATCAAGAAATCTAATAACAGATGCTGGAGGGGATGTGGTCAAAAGGAACCCTACTGCATTGTTAGTGGGAGTGTAAACTTGTTCAACCACTTTGGAAAGTAGTATGGAGGTTCCTAAAAGACTCCACATAGAGCTTCCCTATGACCCAGCAATCCCACTTTTGGGCATTCACTCAAATGACCACAAACAAGGGCACACTAAAATTACCAGCACAACTATGTTCATCGCAGCATTGTTTACCATAGCTAACTATGTAACCAACCCAGATGTCCTGCAGTTAATAAATAGATCAAGAAAATGTGGAATGCTGTGGAATTCTATGCTTCCATAGTGTCTTCTTAAAGCTAAAGGATGTGCTCAACTGCGTGAAGTGATGTTGAAACAAGGATTGAATTGTTCATTAGATTGACCAACCTGGAGTTACTAGTGACTTTGTGTGGCTAGTACTGTGGCTTGAAGTCAGGGCCTCACATCCCCAGTAACCTTGGTATGATCAAGACTGGCCCTCTACCACTTAAGCCACACTTTCAGTCAAGCATTTGCCTGTAACTGGAAATGGAGCCTTGTAGACCTTCCTGCTTGAGCTGGTTGGAACTGTGATCTTCTAATCCTCCTAAGTATCAGGGTTACAGGCATAAGTCACCAGCGCCTGGCTTGAAAACTTGTCTTTTAGGAAAGCTTATTGTCTGTGTTGTTTACAACCACACGGAATAGTTATGTTCTCACTCAACCACTGGCCCCAATTGTCTTTTGTCATTGTTGCTTTTGTGACAAAATACCATATACTGATCACTGTATAAACAACCAAAAATTATTTCTGATCATTCTGAAGCTGAAGCTGAGTTCAAATGAGAGGTCTCTTCTGAGTTACAGACTGACAGCTTCTTATTGTGCATCAAGGAGGCAAACGGACTCGCTGAGATCCTTTTCATAAGAAGGGACATCAACCAGGATTCCATTTGCATGATCTAGCTGCTTCCCAAAGGCTAGGGTCTTCTTCTGATACCATCACATTGTGGGTGAGAACTCCTACCTAGTCATTTGAAGAAGAAACAAACATCCAATCCCAAACACAACTTTAAAAAGAATTTGTCAGGTTTTACTTGCATCTAGTGGAAAGAGATCTGGATTTCTAATCTTTGCTTGCTTTCCATCTCTAATTCATGTTTACACTTAGTGATTTTCCCAGACCTTCCTAAGTGGGTGCAAAGGATCTGTGTTTTCCTGGGGGCTGAATTACTGCAATATAAAGCCATGTGTTCCCGACTGTAGCAAGTGCCCAAATACTGCTTCTGTACTATTAGCTCTAGAATTCTCTGGGTTGTTCAATGTCATTGACTATTATTAATCATAGTTTTTCTTGTCTCTTTCTTTTCTTCCAATTGTAGAATTTACTTGGAAAGGTGAACCTCACTAGAGAACCTGGCCTCCGAAACCCTTGGCATCTCAACAAAATCAGTAATTTATTTTTTTGTGTGCAGGTCCTTGAATTCAGGGCCTGGGTGCTGTCCCTGAGCTTCTTTTGCTCAAGGCTAGTGCTCTACCACAGCTCCACTTTTGGCTTTTTTGGTAGTTAATTGGAGGTAAGAATCTCACAGACTGTCCTGCCTGGGCTGACTTTGAATCGTGATCCTCAGATCTCAGCCTCCTGAGTAGCTAGGATTACAGGCATGAGCCACCAGCTTTTAGCTGTAACAACAATTCTTAACGGACACATTTTGCTAGCAATTATGCTATAGGCAATTCCCTAGACACTTGGAGTCAGGCACTTACTGCCCACATGTCCAATTGCAACTTAAGAATCAGTCCAGCATCATATTTAGGGCTAATCACAAAATGGTCCTTATCAGTTGGTTTTAACTGAAAGTTCTGTGATCTATACTTCCAGGATATGAAGAGGCATTTACTAAGATCCCAAATATTTTATTGAATTCAATGATTTACTTACTAAAACCCTCCTAAGAATGTACTTAAGAAATAAATCTCAGTAAGTACCAAACTTTTTTTGACTTTGTATCACTATCAATAGAAAAAAATCACTTACATGTCCTTCTGCCTTATATTCTATGAACAATACAATGCCTATGCTGAAAATAAAAATAAGATGATGTGATAAAATAAATGAGAAATATACATACATATATAATTTCCAGTCTTGACTTCTAAAAGTCATTTTAACCTATCCGGGTCACTGTTTATCTTAGCTAATAGATAGAAGGTGCAAATATATGAAGATTTATGTCTAGTGCTCAGAGGAGTTCTCGACTATTATCTGGTTAAACATTGGATCTCAACCTTCCTTCATTCTTAGTCCAGATCATTATTCTCTCTTCTATGGTTTTTTGGTTTCCTAATCAATGGATTTTTTTTTATATTTTAATACTGTGTTATAGGAACTGTAAAAGTCAAAACATCTCCTTCTTGTTTCATTATCACTTGCTCTTATTTTATTATCCCTGAATATATTTTTAACTCTTAAAATTCTATTCTTCACATTAAAAAATGTTGTGTATTTATTTTTACATTGTTTGACATTGTTCAATTATCCATATTTTATGGATCACTAAATGGATGGCAAGCTATCTTTATATATTTTTTTAACTTTTTTAGAGTGTGTTGTCATTTTCTGTGTAAATCTATGGAGTACTGGAAGGACCCAGCATCGACTGTACAGGACTCAGAACTCAGCCCTGTTCAGAGAAATTTAGTTGAATAATATCATTTAATGGTTTTCACTTTCAGTCCCTACTTGCCTTATGGGGTGTGATGGTAGGGGCGGTGTCTTTCATTTCTATTTGTAGCCCCTATCTGGTGTTCTCTTTAGAACTTAAAAACAATTACTTGTTAATTTCATGTGAGTCAGTTCTGGGTTTTGAATTCAGAGCCTTGGGCTGGCTAGGCAGGTGCTCTGCTCCTTGAGCCACATCATAGTTCACATGTTTGTATATTTATTTAAGTACTTGCAGAGTTTTTTCCCATGAGTTTGGAGCAAATGAGAGAAGATTCAACATGTGCTTAATTCTCAATACAGAATCTTGAATCAAAAGCCTTTCCTTGACTCATGTCTCAATTTTATTTTAATTGGAGCTATGAAACATGGATTTTTTTTTTATAAAAATGAGATTGAATAGAAAAGGAACTTTGAGTCCCTTAAAGATAGCCAGCTACTGCACTGATTGATATTCTGAGATGATAATATGTGCACTAGCGGCCAAGAAGCATATATCTGTCATCTGAAATCTGACTGCCCATTACAAACACCTATTTTTAGCTCTGTTCTAAGTTTTGAAATAGCCCGAGGGAAAAGCTGCGGTTCACCTTTCCTGATGGTGCTCTTTGCTAACTTTTTCCCTCAGTTCAATTTGAAAATATATTTCTGCCAAGAGTTTGGCCCAGAGTTTTTTTAATATATATTTTTATTGTAAAGATATTGTACAGAGGGGTTACAGTTACACGAGTCAGGTAATGAGTACATTTCCTATCGAGCATTGCTACCCTCTCCTTTGTTTTTCCCCTACCATCCCTTCCCTCTCTCCCTCCCACTCCTCCTCCATCCCCTCCCCGGGAAATTGTAAAGTTCATTTTCAACATAGTGTCTTGTACATCTCATTGTTACAATGGGTCAACCTGTATCCTTATTAAAGCACTTCGTTATTTCCCTTCCCCTCCCCAAATTATAAAAATGTATATACTGGTCCAGAGTTTTTAAATGCTAAGTTTTCCTAACCAGAGAGACAAAATCTTGAACAGTGGAATTCCTAATTAAGTCTTTAAAATTTTTTTGTCAGCTATCTTTGTGCAAACACAAAAGGGAATACATTTCTTCAATCTTCCTCTGTCTAGATCTCCTTAACAACCCTCAAAAGACTCTCCCCAAACTCCCTCATACACAACTAACATTCATAGAGTCTTTTAATTTTCTCAAGTGTAGGTAATCTCTAAACAACATTGAAATTGAATAAAACTTTGACTTTAAGTACTATATAAATGCTGAATAAAAACATAAGGGTCAGAATTGTGTACTTAAATTTTCAACAAAACTACCTTTAGACATACATTATATCATTCCATACTCACCCTGTTGGGAATGTATACAGAAAACAGGTTATTCTTGCAGATCTGACCACTATCCCTATAAAGATCTACTTAACAAGGTTCATCCTGAGCTGACTTCAAGGAACTTGGTTGGACTCCCGCCTTTATGTAAGTTTAACATTTCACTGTGCACAAATCATTTGTACAAATAGTATGATTTATGTTCAATGCCTGCTTACTTTCAGGATGTCTGCAGTTCAATTCATGCCAAATGGAGATTTACTCTAAGTTCTATGAGTTTGGTGAGCTTTCTTAGGTTGACAGCATTTTACATTGTGCTGTCACACAACTGCCTGCTGAGAGGATTTAACACATCCTGTGTGACCCACTGGAAAGGCACTGTTGAACACTTACAGCTGTTTTGTTTGTGTGGTGTTGCCATTACTTCGTTCTGAGCATCATTTCTCTTTATTGATTAGCTCAGTATTCTTTGCTGTGGTAAATCACAAATGCATGACCAATTATTGAGTCCAATACTGGGCTTGAACTCAGGGCTTTAAGCTCTTAGTTGGCTGTTTTTGCTCAAGGCTGGCACGCTACCACTTGAGCCACAACTCCACTTTCAGCTTTTTGCTAGTGAATTGGAAATAAGAGTCTTACAGATTTTTTCTGCCTGGGCTGGCTTCAAACATCAATCCTCATACCTCAGCTTCCTGAGTGGCTAGTATTACAGATGTGAGCCACTGACACCATGACTCCTGCGATTTCTCTGCATATCATTGAACATGACATTATTCCTAGAGACCCCAACACAAGAGAGTAAGTCCTCTTATTACTCACATTTGCAGAGAAGAAAACTGAAGCACAGAAAGGTCAAAGATATCTCAAAGTTATCATCAAGGTTTACAGTAAAGGTAAAAAAATTAACCAAGGGGACATAATGCATCACACATTAAACTTCTACTGCTTTAGAGATGTTACAAATGTAGCTTAATATAAGTCTAATTGTTCATAACAAACTCGTCCCATTTGCTACTACATCTACATGCTACTATAAATAAATTCTGGGTATATATCCAGAATGTATCATTTTATATAATGATATACATGCATGCATGCATGTATGTATATATAGATAAATAGATGATAGATTAACATCATTATACATGTGTATGTGTGCTCTTTTGCCCCACACTAGCCAGAAATTGGCAAATTGTATGCAAAATTTAATTGGTATCTAATTTTTAGTACATAGTACATTATTAGTACATTTAGTACATTATTAGTACATAGTAAATGTACAGAGATGTCAAATTGTGATAGTTTTATACACTCATCAGAAATTGGCAGATTGTGTGCTAACTTTAGTTCTTATATGATTTTTAAATGATTGGCATATATTAACTACACAAAGATGTCAAACGGTGATATTTTCATACATGCACATGAAGTTCTTCAATCAAATTATCTCCTCTATTACTCTTTCACATCTCCCTCTTGTTTCCCTCATTTATTTTACAGCTTTTGTTGGGTTTTGCTATTTTTAATCAATTCATATAATTTGTTTCAATAATAGTCGCTCCTTATCACCCTCTTCTTTTCCTTTTCTCTTCTCATTAGTTTTCTTTCAATATTCCTTCTTTTGCCTTATTAGTTAGTAATAGTACTATGTTAGTAATAGTACTATGTCTAGATTGTTCATATGTGAAGAACATGTAATTCTTATCTTTCTCAGCTTGACTTTTCAGAGTGTGTTATCTTCTGTGTAAACTTATCATAAACAATTATTAAAAATTAATTTAAATTAAATTTTGCTGTATTTTAAAGACCATTACATTAGCTAAAACATTTTGAACAAATGTTCAAACCTAAGAAAAAATTATATTAAGTGAAGTAAGCCACACCCAAAGAAATATAGGTCCCATGGTTTCCCTTATTTGCAATAACCAGTATATGTCTGAGACAAACAGAAACTGTCAGACAAGTTGATGTTAGGCAAGATAAGGATTCAAATGTTTTTTTCTTTCTGGCGATTGTTTCCAACATATTTATAAGATGATTTCTTTGTTGCTTTGTATGTACCTCCCCCAGGGTATAAACCCTGCTTTCACTGTATTTGATGTTGATATACTTTGTGGAGGGGAAGGGGAAAAACAAACTGTTTAAGTAGGGTTACAGGTGGACCCATTACAACAATGAGATGTATAAGATGTTATGTTGAAAAACGAACTTTACAACTTTGGCAAAAAACAAACTTTACAACTTTCGCTGGGTGTGGGGTGGGGGGATGGGGGGCCGTAGCGAGGTTTGGGGATTTGGGGGTGGAGAGGGGAAGGGATGGGAAGGGGAAACAGGAGGAGGCAGCAATGCTTGATAAGAAATGTACTCACTATCTTGCCCATGTAATTGTAACCCCTCTGTATGGTATTTTCACAATTAAAAAAAAGAAAGAAAAATAAATGTGTTTGTGTTAGCTAGCTTTCTGTCACTGTGATATGGGGAGCCAGTAACTCACACCTGTAATCCTAGCTACTGAGGAAGCTTAGATTCTGAGGACTGTGGTTTGAAGTCAGCCTGAGCAGAAAAATAAGCTATGGTCAGAGGTTTCACTCCATGGTTTTCACTCTTCTTCTTAGAGGGGATGTAGAAGATCACTGGAGAAAGTGTGATAGAACAGAGTTGGTGGCTAGGATGTACAGAGAGGGAAGGAATGTGAACATGCCAAGCACCTTGTGACCAATTCTTTCTACCAGGTTCTACATTCTAGTTCTCACCATCTCTCAATAATATCATTAATATTTGAATCATCCATGGATGAATTCACTGATTAGAGTTTTCACCAGCCAACCAGCTCTGGTAATCAGGCAAAGAAAGCTTTCATACATGAGCCTTTAGGGAACATTTGGGGTGCAAGTCATACTTGTATTTATTATTATTTTTATTGTGAAAATACCTTACAGAGGGGTTACAATTACATGGGTAAGGTAATGAGTGCATTTCTTATCAAGCATTGTTGCCTCCTCCTTTGTTTCCCCTTCCCATCCCTTCCCATCCTCCTCCTCCCTCTCCCCACTCCCCCACCCTTCTCCCCCTCCCCCCACCCGCCAAAGTTGTAAAGTTCATTTTTGACATAACGACTTGTACATCTCATTGGTGCAGTGGGTCCACCTGTATCCCTATTTAAACAATTTGTTTTTTCCCTTCCCCTCCACAAATTATACCAACATCAAATCCATACCTGTATTGTACTAGCCTAGTATCAGAGTAACCAGAATTCTTGAATCAGAAAACTTAGATCCAATTCCCATACCTGTTCAGAAAATTTGAGCCAATTTTATACTTTTCCTGAGTATCAGCATCTTCATTGCCAATAGGCCAATGATATTTGCCTGATTTTAATTTGAAAGAAAAAAGAAAAAGCTAGGTACATCTTCTCAGCTCATTTCCTATAGCGTACATCTTTCATGATCCAAAGGTCCAAACCTCCGTGTACCAGAGTAACTTCTAAACTGAATTTCTCACTGTCATCACAGTATGCTTTTAAAAGATATAGTATCTAGGCATTAGAAGTCATTTTGAAGAGACTCTTTTATATTTCTGTGCAATTTCCTACTTATCCACTAACAGATTATCCTTTGCTTTTTATCAGATTGAAACTGACCTAATTTGTAAAAGCTCTGGCAGAAAAAAAAAATAAAGCTCATTAGAAGACTTCATCTTTCAGCAGATTCTCTTTCCTCCTTCAAATGATCTAGGTCAGGATGGCCCAATACAAAACACTGGTGAGAATTACAAAGCCACTCAAAAACCTTCTGAATAGATGGAATCTCTAAGAGCCAGTGACAGTCATATACTGAAAAGTGGGGAGGGTTTGAAAGTTTTTCTCAGAGTATGAGTCTTAAATGTCTGACCAAATGCAGCAATAGCTATGACTCCACTCCCTTTACAACCAAGCGTTCAGAAACCGTAGTTATTGGCCTTCTGATCTGATCAAGAAGCCTCAATACCGAAGACATTTTATTTTGATCATCATCCTCCAGGCAAAAAGGCATAAATAAAGCAGCTTTCAATCACAGAATCAAATTAATATGTATTTATCAAGTCTACTATAGGGAAAACAGAAAAACTACAGAGGCTGTATTTCAATATTCAGTTAAATATTCCCATAATTCTATATATCAGTTAATCACCCCATAATTCTATCAGCGTCAGAGTCTCAGTGCATACTCACTGAGTGAACACATATACTATTTCGATGTGGTTAAGAAGGCTCAATCTCAGGCAGCAATGGCTGTAGTGGCTCTGTGTGGACACCTTTTGATCCTCTTCTTGGAGACTAGCTTGCCTAAGGAAACCTCATCTCATAATAATGGCGTAAGTATACAGAAACAAATAAGTATAATGAAGTATAAAGTCTAAAGAAGCTTCTCAGCAAGTCTCATGGACCATTCTAAAGTCAAAGGGTGAGGAAGTATTCTCTGTTCATGACACATGGATGCAGGTGGTGTATGTGAAGGATTTAGGGCACTCTTTTAATCTTCTAAAGAGTCATAAGAGGACACCCTGCTCCAGAATGCTACAGATTACTTAGGAAACCTTCAATCTTTGAGGACAAGAAATAGGAGTATCAGAAAAGTTAAATGACAACTAATGAGATGGGACATTTTTTTCTGCACAATAGTAGACCACATATACTATAATTTAACCTTCTAATAGGTTAGGAACTTAGAGAGATGGAGTGAAGTCATTCACTATAAACAACTCTTGGCTGTTGGGCATAGCTGACAGGTAAGAGAGATTATTTTCATCTATTATGGATAAAGATCTAAGATTTAATTATCATAACAAATCAATTATTAAATTCTTTATCTGCTTGGCTTTGCTGTTCATGAGAATTTATTCTGAGTACAATCCTTGGCTATTATTGAAGCCATTTGTGCCATCAGTCAATTATGCTTTGTTCTGTGTTTTGGCAAAGGTGGAAAAGCCTCTATTTGAATGTGATAGCTTAGATTTAGATCACTCAGTATTTCCATACACTAATATAAGTATGTGCTTACAGTCTATCATAACTCTAAATGAAACATCTATAGATAATAATAATAATAATACATTTGTTGTCAAAAATATTTCTGAGTATTATCTAATGTTGGGCACATTACCAAAACATAATGCCACACTTTTTGAGATTAAGCAATCTTAATACAAGTAACTACAATATTTTCCTTTTCTATGAGGTACCATTCCTACAATACTTATTACCTAAAATACCAGTAATAAAAGTATATAATACAGTGACACTTTTAAGTGGTTAATACAAATGTCACAAAGTACATTTACTGAAGCTGATATACTTCGTTTAAGTAAATATCCATTAGAGCCCATTTGCTACTATATTAAGTACAATTGCAAATCATTTAGCTAAATTACATCAGCTAAAAACAAATAAACAGCAATATAATTAGGTAAGGAGATTCTGATGAAGGTAGCTGCACTATCAATATAAAGAAATGGCAGCAAAGAAAGGCCAAAATGTAAGATTCAGATTGCTTATGTGGTATATATATATATATATATACACACACATATATGTGGTGTATATATATATATATATATATATATATATATAATGGAATTCTATGCCTCCATCAGAAAGAATGACATTGCCCCTTTTGTTAGGAAATGGAAAGACTTGGACAAAATTATATTAAGTGAAGTAATCTAGGCACAAAGAAACATAGGTCCCATGGTATCCTTTATTTGCAATAACTAGTATATATATGTCTGAGACAAGCATATAAGGTCAGATAAGATGATGTTAAGCGAAATGAACCCCAAGATAGGGACACGAGTGGTTTTTTCTTGCTTGTTATGGTTTCTAATGTATTTACAATGTACCATGTGATTTTTTGTTGCTTTGTATGTCCCTCCTCCATGGTATAACCCGTTTTCATTGTATTTGATGTTGGTATAATTTGGGGAAGAGGAAGGGAAAAAACAAATTGTTTAAATAGGGATACAGGTGGACCCATTGCAATATGAGATGTACAAGACGTTATGTCGAAAAAACGAATTTTACAATTTAGGCAAAGGGGGGAGGAGGGGGGAGTGTAGTTGAGGAGGGAGGGAAAGGATGGTAGGGGAAAAACAAAGTAGTAGGCAAGAATGCTTAATAAGAAATGTACACATTACCTTGCCCATGTAACTATAACCCCTCTGTACAGTATTTTCACAATAAAAAACTTATTTTAAAAAAAGGTTA